TACCACAACAAATGCCCTTGTAATATACCCGGTACAAATCAAGGGGGGTCTAAATCAAGGGGGGTACCTTGCACTGCAGCACTGCGTTTTACGGTAAGTGCCCTATATAATTTGCTTTCTGCACACTCATTTTCTCGATCATGCGATTTTAGTAATTCACGTGATCGATTGAAGTTCGTTCATTATCTTCGCCAAATCACTTATCCACCCAACCAAGTGTATCCTTATGTCCTGCAAATCCGGACCTCCGATCAAAATTTAGATAATTCGATATTATAGACGCTTTTTATTTGCTTTTTGTATAAAAGTTATAAAGTTTAATCCTACATGTAAAATTTTATTCTGAAAATTTTTACTTTAAAGTCAGTAAGCGGTTTGTTAGTTTTTTTCTTTGTTTTTGTTACACAAAGATCTTCATTATTTATTGGCTCCGACCTATCCGGAGGGTCCGGATTTGCAGTACCCATCTACCAATCGCAATCAACACTATAGATGGGCGTGAAATTGATTAATTTTTTAATTTCTACAATAATTTCAACAATAATTTCTACATTCCTAATATTTTTATAAATTAAATATTAGATAACTATTTTATTTGATTTAGCTTAGGTTTATTTAATTTTCAATATAATTTAAAAACTAATTTTATTAATTTCTACATCAAATAATTTCTACAATTTCAACAAAAATATTTTATTATGAAGGATAATTTCACGACCATACGTGATCCGGTGGGCCGGCACCTTACAAAATTACCCGACATATGTCACGAACAAAACGACAAAGACAAAAACACGAAAATATAAAAAATGGCTATCTAAATCGGTCTTGATGCACTAAATAAAAGTTTCGAAAAAGTGATTTTTACTAACTTCCTAGCCTATGTCTAACCCTAGCCCTAATCTTAATTAAAAATCGAAAAACCGGAAGTGCCAGCGAAGCATCCGAGATGAAAGTGGTCAATTATGCGCATCGCATCGCATCGCATAATCCTGGACACCCTAACGTCGAGCTAGATCCCGCATTTACTAATTTCCCCAAGTTCTATTGGCTGGTATTATACTAAAATTTTGCAAGGAATTTTTTTTTTGTTAGTGCCCAAAGGTGATTTCTTAGGCGAAATTTTGACTTTTCGAAAAAAAAGCGATCACCTTATCTTGCATTCTGATTGGCCAGAATTAGAAATGGGGGTTGGACAGATCACTGGATAGGATTGACCACATGACTAGTAGATCTAGAAATAAAGTTAGCCACTGTATTACTCTATGAATATTACGTATATTGGAAGGCAATAAAGGCAATATGTGTTATGTGTTATTCTCGGTACACTTTTAGTTTGTAGAGGGATATTGAAAAAAAAATAACATAATGGTTAACGAAGATCCGGATGAAAGTTTTTTAGACTTCTCAATGAAATATTTGGACGCTGTTTTTGGAACTAGCGACACTCCTGAGCTAATATTGCCTCGCATCGAAGTTAACGATCTAAGTCCTTCAAAACCGATACAAGATTCTTCTGTCACCACAAACGACACTAGTGGTGATTTACAGGCAGAACAAAAGGAAGTCCAGCCTCAAATAACATCCCAGCAAGAGAATAAAGAGAATAGTACTGACGACAGTAAAAAACATTCATCAGTTTCAGTTACACCCATACAAGCTAAATACTCGACTGATATAAGAGAGACCAGCGCTAACATAACTGGTTGTGATTCAGATTCTTCCCTAGGGAAACTATTTCCCGGGTTAATGGAGGCTACCCTCAAAAGAAAGTCTATTATAGGCTTAGAAGACGATGACACAAGTGATACGTTGAATTCCGAGTCGATCACAGGTGCGCTTCACATTGAGACAGATAATCCATCGCACTTATTTTGGGTCCCTGCGCATCTTCATCCAGAAATAGCTCCAAACGAATTTAGAAAATGGTTAAATAATCATGCAAAAGATAGGTTTAATACAGGAACGAGCTCTTTGAGGAGACGTAAATCTGCCTTATCTAGGCAATATATACCAACGGAAAATGATGAAGATGAACAATCAGAGAAAAAAATAGGGCCCGAAAAAAAACGAAATGGTTTTGACTGGATGTCATTCGCTACATCCGAGGAGAAAACATCTGAGCCAACAAAAATTAAAACAATACGAAGGAGTCTCAGCTTAAACATGTCCCCTTTTGTAGGTAAGAAAGGCAATGATTGATTATTAACGTTCCTATTATCAGTTTATCTTATGACCTTACATATAAATATCTTGCATACTTTTTATATGATATAATAAATGTTCGATTGTATTGCTTTCATTTTTTTTTTTTTCAAAAAAAAAAAAATATATATATATATATGCACGCTGATTGGATCAACCTTTCATTTATATGATACCGATTGGTCCTAATATGCATATTTTATCGTTCAGTACGTAACGTGCTGTTAGGTTCCGATACCGACCCTAAAGATCCGAACATATTTGATCGGCATTCTTCTGCTACTGTAGATTCACCTGTTCTCATTCCTAGAATGGCACCAGCACTTAAGCGTGCGGCACGCACAAAGATTCGCCGGAATTCAGTTGCTGGTGAACAAAATCCGCGAAGATTCTCCGCGCACAGAAGAACAAAATCAACTCACGTACTTTCCGACAAAGATAAACAGAATGGGGATTTATTACCAATTATCCCAAAAAACCCGCCAGAATCGCTACTTTCTAATGTTTTAACGTTACCTCAAAACGAGGGATCCGCCGAAGAAACAGGCAATGACGAAACAACATCTACATCAGATGTTGTCGCTGAACCTGAAGAAATTGAAAATGATATCATACTTGATTTTATAGAGTTAAATGATAGTTCTGGGCCTATACGTATTACTTTAAAAGATGATGGCCCTGCACCTGTAAGCGCTGCTGTGCCTTCTCCTCGTCGGACGAGTTCGCTTCCCCAAAGTACCATTAATATGTCGGATTCTTCACAAGGTCATATGCCATCACACGATGAAGCAAACTTATATTCAGATGCCAGCGGAATAACAAAACCCTCCTCTAAAACGCTCCCAACATCAGTCGCTTCAACACAATCGAAACGGACATCTACATGGACATCTTGGCTTTTCGGCGCTAATTCAGATGAGAAGGAAAAAGAATCAAAATTTAAAAAACCAAAAGCAGAAAAAGTTCAAAAAGCTGATGGTGATCTCAATGAGTCTGGTACTAGAGAAAAGTCATCAAAAATAACGATCTCATCTATTTTTTCGTGGTCCTCTCAAAATAGAGGAAAATCCACTGAAGAACACGGAACTTCAAATGTGCTACTGTCTAGTCCTTCGACTTCTGTACTATCAAACAAAAAACCGAAGTACACCAACTATAATCGTTTTCCTATTCACGTAGAACGTGCCATATATCGACTTTCTCATATCAAATTAGCAAATCCCCGTCGTCCTTTACACGAACAAGTTCTAATTTCTAACATGATGTTTTGGTATCTTTCACTCATTAATAAGCAACAAATCGAATATGGGTCTGAAGTAAATCCTAATGCTGTAAAAGAGGCGGCAATAGTAAAAAGTAAAGTCGGAAAGCATAATGTAGGTCGCAAACGAAGAAAAGGTGAAAAGAAAGGATCACCTGATGCTAGACGGCGTGGTGCAGGTTCAAGTGCAGAAATAGCATATAAAACACCGCAGTATGATATACAGCAAATTTCACAACAATATCTCACACCACCAATGTCTTCTTCACAAGCAAATTCACCGTATACATTAGACTTAGGTTATTCAAAAGAATTCGATGATTATAGTGATTCAAATCCAGACTATTCGTGTGCATATGTAGAAGATGCTTATGGCCACCGCAAATATTATCACTACGGAGATGGGTATATTTCCGACGGAACGGATGGTGGATATCTTGATGATCAAGATCGAACTAGTGTTGGAGTAGAGAGTAGTCACGTAGAAGGTCTAGTTTATTATGATTCGGACGTGGAAAATGTCGGCGGTGAGAGTAGTAATAGGGCCGGCAGCTATAATTCTCACCGACCAGCTTCACCGAATAGGCGGTCTCCTTCCCCTAATGGAAGATCTTTAAATGCTCGTCCGTCACCGAATAATCAACGTTCCACTAGTCCAGTAAGACCTTTATCTCCAAATTCTGGGATAAGAAATAAACAATCTCCTATACTTTCAGATAACGAAAACGTGAATATAACAAATCCAATAATTGAAGACGAAGATGACAATGTACCATTAGGTCTATACAAAACACCGCAGTATGATATACAGCAAATTTCACAACAATATCTCACACCACCAATGTCTTCTTCACAAGCAAATTC